CACTGTCAGCATCAAGATGCTGACAAAACCCAACCAACTTGCTTGACATCCTTTCTTGTTTTTCTAAAAGATTATGGCTGCAGATGGATATTGAACCCGGGTTGGCGTGACCTGTTAGCTCGGAGATTGTTTTTTCTGGGCCGTGTTCACAGGATTTTCTCGCTTTCGGGTTGTCGCGAGCGAAAGAGGTTTTTCATGCCTCTCCAAGAATTTGAAGTTCAGTTCAAAACAAGAAAGAACCTCCATCCCATTTTGAAAACGCTTTGTTTGTTTTTGCTCTTTAGAAGGTGACAATGGTTTTGAAAACATTTTAAATTGACTTAGAAACCAAACTTTGTAACAATTTGACGATAGTTGTTGTGCTTAGTGACGTAGATACGAAACAATTTCACTTAGCTTCGTTTTCAACTCGCAAGTACACGCTAAATACCTCGCTTCGTTAACCAATCAGTATGCGAGATTTTATTCAATGATGCGATTCTATCGTAAAAGGAAGTTAATTTGCTGTTTAAAGATTTCGCACATGGAATAAAGATGTAGCCATCATCTTCATTTGAATCACTAGAGTCGTAAAAATTCCCTGGATTATCTTTCGTGCAGTCTAAAGTTAAGAAATTTTGAAAAATAAAATGATGTTGGGAAAGTTTGAATCGCAAAATTTAATGCCTTATTTCCATATTGGCAAAAAATAAAACCCCGCAAATTTCTGTGTCGCTAATCGCGAAATTGAATACCTGGGTAAGTAACTACGAATAAGGTTCTCTTGATCTACCGACCGAGTACAATTTGTTTTGACTCACCCTAAATTGTCTTATCGCGGTTTGACTTTTTTCAAGTAGAACTGTGGAGAAAATGGCCTAAAGCAAAACAGCATGCTTTCAGTTAGCGAAAGAGCGAGTTACCGAAGCTCGAGTAATAGATGGTCAAAAACGGCTCGACGGAACTCCAGGGGATTTTGATTCCGGCGAGCTGGCAAGAGGTTCGAGTTGTTGACTGGCTAACATAAATTTCCTCATAGCCTTCAAGTCTCAGTCGAGAGGATGAACCAAGAGAAATGCCAAAGAAGTACTCATGAGCCTAAGTTTGACTTGGTTCTCTCTAATAACGTCTGATGTACCCTGCTTATAAACTGCTTATTTAGATAACCGAACACAGATTTAAAGATGAAATAAACAATTTTAATATAAGAGAAAAATCGAGTTTCCAGATGGGATTTGAACCCACGACCCTCCGTGATCTAGTCGGATGCTCTAACCACTGAGCTACAGGAGACTCTATGGTGAGCTTCAGGAGACTCTATGGTCTATTGCTCACCATAGAGTCTCCTGTAGCTCAGTGGTTAGAGCATGCGACTAGGCACGGAGGGTCGTGGGTTCAAATCCCATCTGGAAACTTGAACACAGATTTGTCATTTAAATTCTAGTAAGTCAACTCCCAAATGTCTGAGATGTGGTGTTCCCCAGGGAACAATTTTGGGACCTCTTTTATTTTTGATATATATTCATGACTTACCAAATTGTTTGACATATTCGGAACCTAGAATGTATGCAGATGATACCAGCCTGACGCTTGCCAGTACTGATATTGAGCACTGTATAAATTATTGCCTTAATCATGACCTGAGCAATGTGTGCGAATGGCTCTCTGCTAACAAATTTCCCCTGAATATGACAAAAACTGAGTTCATGCTTATTGCATCAAGGCAGAAGTTATCACAATTTACGGAAAGTCCCTCTCTTATTATAAACGAAAACGCAATCGAACAAGTAACCTCCGCTAAATCCCTTG